TCAGAGACTGCAGACACGCTACAGGGGATGGTCAGAGACTGCAGACAGGGTACAGGGGATGGTCAGAGACTGCAGACAGGGGACGGTCAGAGACTGCAGACAGGGGACGGTCAGAGACTGCAGACAGGGTACGGTCAGAGACTGCAGACACGCTACAGGAGATGGTCAGAGACTGCAGACACGCTACAGGAGATGGTCAGAGACTGCAGACACGCTACAGGAGATGGTCAGAGACTGCAGACATAAACCTATTCCTGAGCTGCATCCCAGCTCCAGAGTAGTGATGGAAGGACTGCGTGTGACCCGGTAGCAGCTTCCATCACAGGTTTCTCACAGAGGTATCCTTCTTTTTGACTGGCACATTGGAGGGAAAATCATCTGCTCAGCTCTGTCACAGAACGATCCAACATCAGCCACTGATCTACTGCCGCCCTCCGGTGGTGGAGGAACTACAAGTCCCATGAGCCACTGCAAGACTGAAAGCCACAGGCATGACTACCAGAAGGCAAAGGCATGATGGGATTTGTAGTTTCAGCGCAGCTGTAATGCTGAGATTGCCCACCCCTGATCTATTGCTTCCTAGAATCTGACAACGAGCATCGTCCATTTGATCTTTACCTGCCGACAATACTACAAATCAATTGATTGGTCGCTGCAATAAGCCGGAACCCCATTGGACGCTGAAAATCGCATGTAACAGTGAACGTCTTTCATTTACATATCCCATCGAAACCTGTTCACCTCTGAACTACAGATCACCTCCCCTCTATGTTCTGGAGATGAGGAGGCAGGTAGGTGTTCTGCAGTCCAAATCAAGAGCGAGCAGCCTGGAGTGACAACGCTGCTCCTCCATGGGTACAGTGACTGAGCGTTGTCACTCCAGGACAGGAAGTGAGACAGGATCCCCAGGTGACAATAACTAAAACTAATGCGGCCGCCACGTCTGAGGACAGGAAGTTGTAACATATCACATTGATGGGTTCAGATCCCATGGATGTAGATGGAGGAGGTATGGTCGGTGAGGCTCAGGACGGGGATGGTACGGTCTGTGAGGCTCAGGACGGGGATGATCCGGTCGGTGAGGCTCAGGACGGGGATGATCCGGTCGGTGAGGCTCAGGACGGGGATGATCCGGTCGGTGAGGCTCAGGACGGGGATGATCCGGTCGGTGAGGCTCAGGACGGGGATGATCCGGTCGGTGAGGCTCAGGACGGGGATGATCCGGTCGGTGAGGCTCAGGACGGGGATGATCCGGTCGGTGAGGCTCAGGACGGGGATGATCCGGTCGGTGAGGCTCAGGACGGGGATGATCCGGTCGGTGAGGCTCAGGACGGGGATGATCCGGTCGGTGAGGCTCAGGACGGGGATGATCCGGTCGGTGAGGCTCAGGACGGGGATGATCCGGTCGGTGAGGCTCAGGACGGGGATGATCCGGTCGGTGAGGCTCAGGACGGGGATGATCCGGTCGGTGAGGCTCAGGACGGGGATGATCCGGTCGGTGAGGCTCAGGACGGGGATGATCCGGTCGGTGAGGCTCAGGACGGGGATGATCCGGTCGGTGAGGCTCAGGACGGGGATGATCCGGTCGGTGAGGCTCAGGACGGGGATGATCCGGTCGGTGAGGCTCAGGACGGGGATGATCCGGTCGGTGAGGCTCAGGACGGGGATGATCCGGTCGGTGAGGCTCAGGACGGGGATGATCCGGTCGGTGAGGCTCAGGACGGGGATGATCCGGTCGGTGAGGCTCAGGACGGGGATGATCCGGTCGGTGAGGCTCAGGACGGGGATGATCCGGTCGGTGAGGCTCAGGACGGGGATGATCCGGTCGGTGAGGCTCAGGACGGGGATGATCCGGTCGGTGAGGCTCAGGACGGGGATGATCCGGTCGGTGAGGCTCAGGACGGGGATGATCCGGTCGGTGAGGCTCAGGACGGGGATGATCCGGTCGGTGAGGCTCAGGACGGGGATGATCCGGTCGGTGAGGCTCAGGACGGGGATGATCCGGTCGGTGAGGCTCAGGACGGGGATGATCCGGTCGGTGAGGCTCAGGACGGGGATGATCCGGTCGGTGAGGCTCAGGACGGGGATGATCCGGTCGGTGAGGCTCAGGACGGGGATGATCCGGTCGGTGAGGCTCAGGACGGGGATGATCCGGTCGGTGAGGCTCAGGACGGGGATGATCCGGTCGGTGAGGCTCAGGACGGGGATGATCCGGTCGGTGAGGCTCAGGACGGGGATGATCCGGTCGGTGAGGCTCAGGACGGGGATGATCCGGTCGGTGAGGCTCAGGACGGGGATGATCCGGTCGGTGAGGCTCAGGACGGGGATGATCCGGTCGGTGAGGCTCAGGACGGGGATGATCCGGTCGGTGAGGCTCAGGACGGGGATGATCCGGTCGGTGAGGCTCAGGACGGGGATGATCCGGTCGGTGAGGCTCAGGACGGGGATGATCCGGTCGGTGAGGCTCAGGACGGGGATGATCCGGTCGGTGAGGCTCAGGACGGGGATGATCCGGTCGGTGAGGCTCAGGACGGGGATGATCCGGTCGGTGAGGCTCAGGACGGGGATGATCCGGTCGGTGAGGCTCAGGACGGGGATGATCCGGTCGGTGAGGCTCAGGACGGGGATGATCCGGTCGGTGAGGCTCAGGACGGGGATGATCCGGTCGGTGAGGCTCAGGACGGGGATGATCCGGTCGGTGAGGCTCAGGACGGGGATGATCCGGTCGGTGAGGCTCAGGACGGGGATGATCCGGTCGGTGAGGCTCAGGACGGGGATGATCCGGTCGGTGAGGCTCAGGACGGGGATGATCCGGTCGGTGAGGCTCAGGACGGGGATGATCCGGTCGGTGAGGCTCAGGACGGGGATGATCCGGTCGGTGAGGCTCAGGACGGGGATGATCCGGTCGGTGAGGCTCAGGACGGGGATGATCCGGTCGGTGAGGCTCAGGACGGGGATGATCCGGTCGGTGAGGCTCAGGACGGGGATGATCCGGTCGGTGAGGCTCAGGACGGGGATGATCCGGTCGGTGAGGCTCAGGACGGGGATGATCCGGTCGGTGAGGCTCAGGACGGGGATGATCCGGTCGGTGAGGCTCAGGACGGGGATGATCCGGTCGGTGAGGCTCAGGACGGGGATGATCCGGTCGGTGAGGCTCAGGACGGGGATGATCCGGTCGGTGAGGCTCAGGACGGGGATGATCCGGTCGGTGAGGCTCAGGACGGGGATGATCCGGTCGGTGAGGCTCAGGACGGGGATGATCCGGTCGGTGAGGCTCAGGACGGGGATGATCCGGTCGGTGAGGCTCAGGACGGGGATGATCCGGTCGGTGAGGCTCAGGACGGGGATGATCCGGTCGGTGAGGCTCAGGACGGGGATGATCCGGTCGGTGAGGCTCAGGACGGGGATGATCCGGTCGGTGAGGCTCAGGACGGGGATGATCCGGTCGGTGAGGCTCAGGACGGGGATGATCCGGTCGGTGAGGCTCAGGACGGGGATGATCCGGTCGGTGAGGCTCAGGACGGGGATGATCCGGTCGGTGAGGCTCAGGACGGGGATGATCCGGTCGGTGAGGCTCAGGACGGGGATGATCCGGTCGGTGAGGCTCAGGACGGGGATGATCCGGTCGGTGAGGCTCAGGACGGGGATGATCCGGTCGGTGAGGCTCAGGACGGGGATGATCCGGTCGGTGAGGCTCAGGACGGGGATGATCCGGTCGGTGAGGCTCAGGACGGGGATGATCCGGTCGGTGAGGCTCAGGACGGGGATGATCCGGTCGGTGAGGCTCAGGACGGGGATGATCCGGTCGGTGAGGCTCAGGACGGGGATGATCCGGTCGGTGAGGCTCAGGACGGGGATGATCCGGTCGGTGAGGCTCAGGACGGGGATGATCCGGTCGGTGAGGCTCAGGACGGGGATGATCCGGTCGGTGAGGCTCAGGACGGGGATGATCCGGTCGGTGAGGCTCAGGACGGGGATGATCCGGTCGGTGAGGCTCAGGACGGGGATGATCCGGTCGGTGAGGCTCAGGACGGGGATGATCCGGTCGGTGAGGCTCAGGACGGGGATGATCCGGTCGGTGAGGCTCAGGACGGGGATGATCCGGTCGGTGAGGCTCAGGACGGGGATGATCCGGTCGGTGAGGCTCAGGACGGGGATGATCCGGTCGGTGAGGCTCAGGACGGGGATGATCCGGTCGGTGAGGCTCAGGACGGGGATGATCCGGTCGGTGAGGCTCAGGACGGGGATGATCCGGTCGGTGAGGCTCAGGACGGGGATGATCCGGTCGGTGAGGCTCAGGACGGGGATGATCCGGTCGGTGAGGCTCAGGACGGGGATGATCCGGTCGGTGAGGCTCAGGACGGGGATGATCCGGTCGGTGAGGCTCAGGACGGGGATGATCCGGTCGGTGAGGCTCAGGACGGGGATGATCCGGTCGGTGAGGCTCAGGACGGGGATGATCCGGTCGGTGAGGCTCAGGACGGGGATGATCCGGTCGGTGAGGCTCAGGACGGGGATGATCCGGTCGGTGAGGCTCAGGACGGGGATGATCCGGTCGGTGAGGCTCAGGACGGGGATGATCCGGTCGGTGAGGCTCAGGACGGGGATGATCCGGTCGGTGAGGCTCAGGACGGGGATGATCCGGTCGGTGAGGCTCAGGACGGGGATGATCCGGTCGGTGAGGCTCAGGACGGGGATGATCCGGTCGGTGAGGCTCAGGACGGGGATGATCCGGTCGGTGAGGCTCAGGACGGGGATGATCCGGTCGGTGAGGCTCAGGACGGGGATGATCCGGTCGGTGAGGCTCAGGACGGGGATGATATGATTAGTGATGCTCAGGATGAGGATGATATGATTAGTGATGCTCATGATGGGGATGACACGGTCAGTGACGCAGAAGATGAGGATGATACGGCTCGGTGACCCCGATATCCGGTCTCCCGGTGACACATTTATAGGTAGTCACGCTCCTGGCCGGCCCAGCTCTCCCTCCCCCTCACCTGCTTTGGTCTCCTCCAGCGCCTCTTCCAGCTCCGGGAAGGTCAGCTCCGGCAGGTCCAGCACGGCGCCGTAGCGCTCCAGGAACGAGCAGAGCACGGCGTAGTCCGGACATGCTCCCGCCTTGCTGGGAGCGGACGGAGCGATCACCGGGGAAGCCGGAGCCTCAATGCACCGAGAGACTGGCCGCTCTTCCCCGCCCCTTCCTCTCTGTCGCCACTCCCCCTTCTTCCCCTCATCATTGTACTGAACACAACAAAGAGAGTCACGCTTTTTTTTTTCCTCCTCAATTAACTTTATTGCTCAGATTTCTTTATTTGGTTTACGCGTTATGCTCGGGCAGGCCACAGGGCAAACGAGTGGTCCCCGCCGAGCGGTCCCCGCCCAGCCATTCATTCGCCTGACGGAGCGGAGGGGTAAAGAGCGTGTCGTCTCGGTTTATGTTTGAAGCGCGCATCTCTCCCGCCTCCCGGACGGGCTTCAGCGAGGGGCGGGGCGCAATGGCCGGCAGCCAATGGGAAAGCAGGGGGGTAGAGGTATATAAAGCAGTGTGAGGCGGATGGTGACAGACAGACTAGAGCGGTGGGTGGTAAAGGTGAGTGGGACCTGGCGGGCCTGGCGCTGTCGGGGTGTTTGGTGTGGAGACAAGTTGAGGGAGTTTTCTGACGTACTTTGCAAATCATGGCGAGGATACTGATCAGAGTAACTACAAGGCCTATCTGTCCCTTATCTGAGCTCTGGATATGGCTGGCATTCACCCCAGCCCTGCTAAGCGTGCCAGCCAAAGTTATTTCTGGCGTTGTAACATTAAGACGCTCCTTGCGCATAAGCATTTTTGGGGAATCTTGAAGTGTTGTTGATGCGCGTCTTTGTTTTAGCCAATGGCAAGATGGTTACTAGGAGTAAGAGACGGTTGCTAGGTGCAAAATGCACGCCAAATTGATGTCATGATTGCCCAAAATGAATCCCTGGTGACAATGCTCAGGTGTGAGCTGGCACCACCGAAAATGGGTTGTTAAACTTTTCAGGAAGCATGTGGTGTAATGCTCACTCTCCGTGGGGAGGGTATTGACTGAGGGACAACTTAGACTTTGGATACCACTTGTCGAGAGCTCACAACATTCAACTGGCGCTGAGATGGTTCTGGCCTTATATACAGGCTTGTCTCCATTGCCAGTGTTCTCTCGAATTCTCCAACCCGTTGACACCTCCCAACTCCCGTCAGTGCGCCTGCAAAGCCAACCAAGAGAAGTAGCAAGCTGTACAATCTGCGGCAGTGCCCCTGCGCAAGCATCCGATGCCACGAGCACCAACGGGAGTTGGGGAACTCCATTACAATTTTGAAGGCGCACTTACGGCAAGTGGAGAAGCCAACGAGGATTGCAAAAACTAGCGCCATCCCATCATCTACAACGTATGTGACATCACAAGTTGGGGATCTCGATGAGTTGGCCACCTCAAAAGAACACCGGCACCGATTGAACATGTGGCCGCCATTGGGTCAAGAAGGTTGCCTCCTTTTGCTGGTCCTGGACGTCGTACTTTGTGTTTTTGACACACTGCGACACTTTGGCTTCTGTTGGTGCTTTCCTTCGTCAGTTTTGGGCATTTCCGAGGGGAAGACGCGGAAAGACCACCCTGTCTGCCACCAGTGGAACCCTTAACCTCTTGCCGTCCGCCCGTAGTAAAAAAACGGACGGACGGCACTGCTACCTCTGCGGGTTGCCGTCTCCAGACGGCAATTTTTTTCTGCTCGCGCGCGCCCCCTAGCGGGCACGCACGGGCAGAAAAGACCCGGCCGTTGCACACACCCGTTACCGGGTGTTTCACATATAGGCGATCAGCGGGTCCATAGCCCGCCAATCGCCTATATGTGCTCGTTCGCGGCACCAACCCCCCGACGCGCGGTCGGCGCTTCCGGTTTTTTCCCCCCCTGACCCCTCACCTTGATTCCCGGGATCCGCTGCCCCATCTTGGATCCCGGGACCGGCTCCGAGGGCGTCAGGAGGAGGACAGGAGATCAGCTCCTTGCTGATCTCCGTCCGGGCTGTGAATGCAGAAGTGATGTGTGTTACAGAGACCCCTAATGTCTCCATAAAGAGGACCTGTCAGTGTGCCTTTGCTATTACATAGGGAGATTGTTATCCCCCTATGTAATAGCAATAACAATAAGTGCAAAAAAATAAATATAAATAAAAATAAATAAAAGTCACATATAAAAAAGTAAAATAAAATAAAAGTCAGATATAAAAAAAGGGGAAAAAAACCCCCAAAATGTTTAACTCCCCCACCCCCACGTTTACGCGCCTATAAACGTAAATACGCGTCCGGTGCCCCAGCGCGCAAAAATTACAATTGCGCTACACATGTTACATATCGCCGCGAACGTCGCAGTGAGAGCAATCATTTTAGGGCCATCAATCACTGATAACACTAAACTGATGAGCGGTAACAGCTTTTAAAGCGTCGCCTATGGCCAATTTTGGGTATTATCGTTTTTTGAGGTTTCGCGCGCGCACGCAATTTTAAGGCTTGACATGTTTAGTGTCTTTTTACCCGACGTGACCCCATCTTTTATATTTTACCAAAAAATTGGGTAATAATAAATGTTTTATCATTTTAATATAGGGGAAACCCTGTTTTTTTTTTTTTTTTTTTAATTTCGGTAATTTTTCCTTAATATAGTAAAAAAAAATAAAACCCCAGTGGTGAATAAATACCACCAAAAGAAAGCGCTATCTGTCCCCAAAAAAGGGTATAAAATTCATTTCAGTACAGAGCTGCATGACGGAATAAATGTCAGTCAAAGTACCGCAGCGCTGAATACTGAAAAATGGCCTGGATGGGAAGGGGGTTTAACACCGCGGATGTCAACTGGTTAAAGTGTAACGGTCACCTACCTTGATGGAGACCGAATGGATGCGATTATGAGGTCACCAGCACACCAAGGTCCACTTCATCAATCAGTCTTTTACTGAGATTTAGCTAAACATGGTGTCACAAGCACATGCAATGTTGCAGAACCACACGTGGTCCCTCCATCAGGCCAAACAATGTGACGCCGCATACGGTCCCATTGTTTTGCCTGATGGAGGGACCACGTGTGGTTCTGGAACATTTAATTTGCTTGTGACACCATGTTTATCTAAACGTCAATAAAAGACTGATCGCTTTAGTGGACCTTGGTGTGCTGGTGACCTCATCTCCTTTAGTCTTGTGGTGACATCCGTTGGCCATTTAAGCTACACCTGAGGATGCATTGGTTTGAAATGATATGGGATACCTCTGAATGGATGAGTAGGCTCCTCTTGCGTCTCTTGTCCAGCACCCGTGTATGGGGATAACGGGGAATGTGTGGGCACAGAGTAGCATTGGTGCCAGGACAGGATCAGTGCAGATGCCAAAGGACGTCAAGCAGGAACAACAGGTGAAAGAAGGTTGGGGGTCACACACCAAGGTCCAGCCAACTGGGCAACGAAGTACCAAATCAGGAACCAGGAGTGGTGTCGAGTTCCGAGCAGAAGACGAGATGCAAATCCGGTAGTCACAAGAGGCAGGCGAGAGGAGCAGTCAGTGGTGAGCCGGGTCAGGAACCAGAATCAAGGACTTCAGGGAGCAGGAAACTGGACTCAATCAGCAATGAGGGAGCCACCTATGCCTGTTTATACGGTATGTGCTAAACCTACATCACTTCCTGTGTCATACCGCTGGTGTGCATTCTATGTACCTTCCGGTGCACATGTATGCGCACTTTTCCCAGTGACCTTGAGCATGTGCACAGGACTTCTCTTAAGGAACTAAATACCCACCTTTTTATTTTTCGGTCTTCTCTTACCTTGTCCACTATCTAGTCTACAAAAAAAGCATGTTCTCGTACTCGGTGAGTCTAGTGTTGTCTGATGCAACCCATCGCTGCACGCAAAGTCTTGTGCCGCCGTCTTCCTCTGTGACGCCATCTTCCTATGTGACATCAGCAGCTGGCTGCCTCTTTTGGTATCTCGCAGCTGACCCCTGACAAGGGCCGTTGTGCATGAGCAATGTGCCGTACATGGCCCTGATGCCTCCGGTGATGCATGTGGGTTGAATCCAAGGGAGGCTGCAGGTGGCACAGCCATGTCATTCCTGCCTTGATGAGAGAAGTGCTGGGCCGGCATAAAAAGACTATATCTGAGATTCAAAAAAAAGAGGGTAGGAGGAGTGATTTATGTAAATTTATTAACACAGTTTTTATAGTAAAGAATCCAAATCTACATTGCTCACAAAGTATATCTTTGCACAAACACATCCATCATGCTTCAGAAGTGGCTCCAACCCTCTCAGCTAGGCTTCCCTGAACTTCCTGTCCAGTAAAAGGTCACAAGGGCCAGGGCAGACTCCAGCAGCTGACCATGTGCTAGCTTGGAGGAAGAAGCAGGGGAGTGTCTTGCTGTGTTTGTGTAGACACACACCGCTTACTAGCACACACAAAGTTGGCTCTATAGGACCCTGCAAAGGGAAGGAGCCATCCCAAAACAGGAAGTCAGCTCCAGTGCCCAGGGGACCGGCTTTTAAACCTCAAGGAGTAGCATCCAGTAGAAGTCTAAGAACCTTTTGACTTTAGTATCTTTTATTAAATATATTATTCTGCAGCTTAAAAGTCCTCGCATGTGGTGTGTGTTGTTTTCATTTGTTTCTCTTTTCTCCCACGATTCACCTGGTGATCCTTCAAATAACACAGCTTCCTGTCCCTTCACATCTACAATAATTTCTCCATTGTATCTATGAGGGCAGCCATGCTTGTCACACTGACTGACTGGAATTCAAACATGTCTGCCTCTGTTCATCCCCCACTACATGTTGTGTTGATGGGACTAGTAGTTTACACAATAAAGATTAAAGTTCTTTTTGCTTCAACCCCTATGGGTCTTTGGCCGATATTTGCGGGAATATAGTAATTTTATTCTGAATCGCAATAAACTGGAAGATGCGTTTTAAAAGAAATCTCACTCCTCCAGATCTGCATTGGATGGCCAGCACTTCATATTGCGGGCCTACTGTTCTCTGGAAATAAAGGCTCTACCAGCCCTATCTCATGCAGGATTGATTGAGGACCTATGGGTGACTCGGTGGACTAGTCCATTGAGGACCTATGGCTGACTCTGTGGACTAGTCCATTGAGGACCTATGGCTGACTCTGTGGACTAGTCCATTTGGGACCTATGGGTGACTTGGTGGACTAGTCCGTTGGGGACCTATGGCTGACTCTGTGGACTAGTCCGTTGGGGACCTATGGCTGACTCTGTGGACTAGTCCGTTGGGGACCTATGGCTGACTCTGTGGACTAGTCCGTTGGGGACCTATGGAGGTCACACACCAAGGTCCAGCCAACTGGGCAACGAAGTACCAAATCAGGAACCAGGAGTGGTGTCGAGTTCCGAGCAGAAGACGAGATGCAAATCCGGTAGTCACAAGAGGCAGGCGAGAGGAGCAGTCAGTGGTGAGCCGGGTCAGGAACCAGAATCAAGGACTTCAGGGAGCAGGAAACTGGACTCAATCAGCAATGAGGGAGCCACCTATGCCTGTTTATACGGTATGTGCTAAACCTACATCACTTCCTGTGTCATACCGCTGGTGTGCATTCTATGTACCTTCCGGTGCACATGTATGCGCACTTTTCCCAGTGACCTTGAGCATGTGCACAGGACTTCTCTTAAGGAACTAAATACCCACCTTTTTATTTTTCGGTCTTCTCTTACCTTGTCCACTATCTAGTCTACAAAAAAAGCATGTTCTCGTACTCGGTGAGTCTAGTGTTGTCTGATGCAACCCATCGCTGCACGCAAAGTCTTGTGCC